TGCTAGCGCACTTTTCGCCTATCATTCCTCAATGTCACGGTTATTTAGAAAGAAATCAGAAATATCATTCATTTATAATCTCATCACATTACATACTAAACATCGGAATATTAAGGAGCAAGATCATCTAAGGTTTGTAATTATAGGGCATGTATTTATGGAACGAGATTGACTTGGATGCCCCATAGAAGTAATACAAAGAAGAATAAAGTTTGTAGGAAGCATATGACACAGTGGGGAGTATGCAAATAAGATGATGAGGTAGGACACATAAAAGTGGGTATTTATATCCTATGGTGAACTAAATCAAAAACTAAAACCAATATTAAGATAATGAACAATTTAAGTGATTATGGAGAAGGGAACAATCCCCATCAGCCTATCGACTAAACATGAAAAGTCTGACAAATTGTACGCCATGAAACAAAAATATATTTTTGAAGCGGGAGGCAAATCTGGCCTACGAGTGATTAAACGGCAAGTAATCTGCATAATCTATGCTAGGGAGCCACCAGTTACAGCATAACCCACTGCATTGATGTAGCATGTGAGCAATTAGAAGGTAAAAGAATATTAGATTATATGCGTTAAAAATATAAAAAACGCAGAATTAGATAAGCTTTGGTGAGGAGAATCTGGTGAAGAGGATGCTGGAGGAATACAGAATTAGCGAAAACTTTGCCTATCGTTTAAGCAAACTCGAAGTAATTTAGACATACGCAAGATCAGCAGAAATGCGATACATTTAGAATGTAAAGAAGAGAGATCTGAAGGAAGACGCTCTCAAGGGATGCTTAGAAAGTGGAAAAATACATTTATATTAAGTTTAATCAGATGTTTTGAATAGCTACAGCATTTTTTGGGTGAGATGGGGGCGAAATGGGAAATTTCTGAAGTAAAGGCCTTATCACAAGATTTGCTAATCCAGTGCAAATGCCTGACTGAGATAAGGGAAAGAGTATTAAGTTAGTGCGATTGCATCTCTCTAAATCTGTTCAAAGGGGCGGAGAGTGAGAGATGTAATAGTGAAGATATAATATAGGAAATGGATCAGGGCTGAGTGGAGCCATACATGTTCAGTTGAAAATTTTCAAGGGATTGGCTTGACTTATCTTCTTGCTCAGTTCGGTGCTGGCTAATAGGACCCACTCTCTAGGCTGACTATTCTGCCAGCAAAATGTCTGACAATGTACCAAGTCAACAGTCAGACGTTGGAAGTGCTCATCTTCACTGAGGCAGGGGATTTCGGACAAGGTTTGTTCATCGAGGTTACCCTGACAACACTACCAAGTTGGGGAAAAGAGATCAAATGACTTAAAAAATAACTCGTCAATATTTAGATCGATTTAATCATATATCTTCATTTGGCTTGACTAACTGTTTTTAGCGGTTTTTACCCTCAAGAATGATGATGAGTGTGATGCTGAGTACATTTTACATCCAATTTGACACTGGCTGTCCTTATCTACTACAATGGCAGCCTATGCAACTTACCAAAAGTTAGGCATAATTAAGATCTAAATTATTAATGGGTGCATTTAAAAGCTGTACTGTGAAGGAATATTTCACATTTGGTAAAGACAATTTAGAGAAATGCAAATCTATGCTAGTGGCTGCTAGACAGAGAATCGCCTTAGATCTGCTGACTATCACAATAGTGTCACTGAGAGCCTTTTTTTAATCACTGTGCAGGATCAGATTTTTATATAATCATAATTATCATTTACTGCTAACTCGTTATCTATCAGGCCTATTATAATCTATAGCAAACTACTATTAATTTTGTAAGGTATTCTCTTTATCGCAGATATCGCCAGGTTTTACCATATGCCCTCATTAGTTAATGTTTAGATCTGAAACTTTTCCTATCATTAATAGGCTTTCGAGTCTACCAGTGGATCCAATATAAAATTGTATTCACTCGATTTCATTTAAGGTGATGAAGGACTGGTAGTTTAATTTTCCCACAATCATATGACTATACTTTGCGTTTCTAGTGCATTCCGTATAGCCTTGCTTTCCCATAAGCTATTCTCATTCAAGGTGGAGTGGATTGCTGTTTTGCCTTCATAAATTTGTCTTATCAGCACTCCCAGCGGGACTCGAACCATGACAGGGCAGCGTATGATCTTGACACGAAAACTAAAAGGCCATGGCGATGCATTTGATCACGAAGCCG